GAGAATATTGCAGAGGATGCTACACTTAGTTGGATAATTCTGTGTCTTTCATATATACGCTGGGGAGAGAAAAAATACACACTTAACCTGGAGAGTGGGGTCGTGTGATCTACCCTTAAAGACACAGATGCACGAAAGTTTAGAGCCTAATTCACTTGAAAAGGCTCTAAAAAATGTGAGTGGAGATATATATGTTACCCACTAAACACTTCACTAAAGTAATAGATATACTGCACAATTATCTGTATATATTTCTGTTTTCTTTTGTATATATATTACATGGGAGAATATAAAGGATAATTGCCTTTGAATCACAGGTAATTCACTGTGTTTTCACATACTACACAGCGCTGCACTCATAAAGATAGAAGACCTAAGGGGTGGCAACACCCATTAGATCTGAAATCTTTTTCGTCTTTTGGTGTTTATCTTTGTATGGTGGGCTTTTAGGAGTACCCATAGAGTGTAAACAGCAGCTAAAATATACTGTTCACATTAATTACTCAGCGCCACATATTCCACACCTATTGTTAATATATTCCATAATATCCTTCTTTAGAACAGGTGCCCAAAATTGCACAGCATATTCAATATGGGGTCTTACCAGTGATTTATAAAGAGGCAAAATTATATTCTTGTCCCGAGAATGAATGCCCTTTTTCATGCATGACAATACCTTACTGGCCTTGGCCACTGCTGATTGACATTGCACATTGTTGCATAGTTTGTTGTCTATAACAATTCCCAAGTCCTTTTCATGTGTTGTTATCCCTAATTCGCTTCCATTAAGGGTATACGTTGCTTGTGTATTCTTTACGCCGAAGTGCATAACATAAGTGCATTTTTCAACATTAAATTTCATCTGCCATTTGAGTGCCAGTCCTCCAGTCTATCTAAATCCCTCTGCAGCAAAGTAATATCTTGCTCACATTGTATTATTTTACAAAGTTTTGTAAATATTAGTGGTATTCCTGTATTAACCCCCCATATAAGGAAACCAACAACATCACCTTTTAGGGACACTTTGTCCATTACACCGAGTGTTAAGAGCAGGGCATCTGTCGCCCTGCAGACTGCAAAAATTCTACAGCAGCAAGATAGGGATAACGTAATGAAACAGCTTGTTAAAGGGAAACTCCAGTGCCAGGAAAACAATCCGTTTTCCTGGCACTGCAGGTCCCCTCTCCCTCCCTCCCCCCAATCCCCGGTTGCTGAAGGGGTGGAAACCCCATCAGTAACTTACCTGAGGCAGCGACGATGTCCCACGTCGCTGATTCCTCCTCCCCCTCTGCTCCTCCTCTGCATTGTGTCGGCCGGTGGGCGAGACTGATCCCGTCCACCAGCGGGGGTGACCTAATGCGCATTAGCGCTTCCCATAGGAAAGCAGTGAAAATGCATTTCAATGCTTTCCTATGGGGAAATGAGCGACGCTGGAGGTCATCACACAGTGTGAGGAGGTCCAGCGACGCTTTAGCACAGATAATCTATGCTATGATCCAGGAAGTGCCCTCTAGTGGCTGTCTAATAGACAGCCACTAGAGGTGGAGTTACCCCTGCAAGGTAATTATTGCAGTTTATAAATAACTGCAATACTTACACTTGCAGGGTTAAGAGTAGTGGGAGTTGGCACCCAGACCACTCCAATGGGCAGAAGAGGTCTGGGTGCCTGGAGTGTCCCTTTAAGTTAAGATCCCTTCCCCCCCAGCCCATATGACTGCAAAATAGGTGTAATTTCAAATATGTCCAACCAGGGCTGGACTGGGAATAAAAAGCAGCCCTGGAATATTTTTACACCAGCCCTAACATTAATTGTGCCAACTGTGACAGATATACAGGTGGAAAAACACAAAAGATTGAAAATTATTTACCCAACATTTCAACCCCCAAAACTTGAATAGTCATTGACTGATAGCTGCTGCATGTCTAATTTAAATTAATCTTATTTTGTTTCGTCCTCAATCCTATGAGTGCACTCTGCGTTGGATATAGTTTGATACCAGGGAATGAAAAACTGAGAGAAGGGCAGGGTTATCAACTAAACTAATAATTTTTGTGAATAAATTCCAAACATTAGGCTACAATAGTCAAGCTGTTACTATGGCGAAGTTTGGATTTTTCAAATCCGCTATTTTGGTCTAAATTAAGCAATTTAGATTTTCACTTTCTAAAATTAGAAATTTAGTGAATAACCCTTTGAAAAATGTAAAACCCTTGTCACATTTCTATACGTGTGTAATCTCCAAATGTGTATTATGTGTGCATATGTCTATTAACATATTTGTATCATACTGATGTTTGTATATATATATATATATATATATATATATTTATTATAACCATAATAATTTATAAGATTACATATATATATATGTATATATATATACGGGATACGTGGAGATTAGGAGATTATATTATATATATATATATATATATATATATATATATATATATATATATACATACACACACACACAGTTTGACAAATTAGTTTGGAATCTAGCAGCCAGCTCGGAAAGTTAGGAGCCAAAGAAATCAACGTCAAAAATACAATTCTTAAAGGGACACTATAATCACCAGAACCACTACAGCTTAATGTAGTTGCTCTGAAGTCTATATCCTGACCCTGAACGCTTTTAAATGTAAACTGACTGTTCAGACAAAAGGCAGTGTTTACATTGCTGCCTGGTGGCACCTCTAGCGCCAGTCGGCCTCTAGAGGTGCTTCCTGGGTTAATGCTTCACACTGTGCAGCACCTACGTTAATGTTCCCTATACAGAAGTTAAATTGGCGCAGTGGCATTTTGCCTTGCATGCGCAATAGCCTCCCAATGCTTTGCTATGAGGAAGCATTGGATTGGCTGAGATCGTCAAGATTGAGGATTTCAGCCATGGAGGTGTGGCCAGACACAGCGTGGAAAAAAGGGGAGTAAAAAAACCCACCAAAACCCTTTCCCATGTGATTGGAGGGAACACACACTTACTGACCGACTCAGACTTACTCACAGACAGACACTCAGACCGACACTGCGACAGACATACTCACAAACACACACTCAGACAGACACACACACTCAGACACACTCACAAGTAATTACTTTTTTATTTAAATTTAAATACACCCAGCCTCCCTACCTTTAGAGAGCTGGAGAGAATATGCTTTTCCTGGGGTCCAGTAGCACTGCTGTCATCTCCCTACTCGACTTCCTCTCACGCACTGTTTAGTGAGCCGGGGGCCAGAGTGACATCATAACCCAGCTCCGTGAATCACTGCAAGCCGCGCAAGAGAGCAGAGCAGGGAGATTACAGCTCCTTCGCTGAGGCACTAAGTCAGCCGCCCGCCTCCCTCGGCTCTCCATTACCCGGCTGCTCCCTTCCGTCAGCTGCCCACCTTTTCTACCACAGCTCTCCATGGGCCAGCCACCCCTCTCCCTCCCTCTGCAATAAATGAGTTGGCTGCCCAATTCCCTCTGTCAGCCGCCTGCCTTCCTCCCACAGCTCTCCATGAACCGGCTGCCCCCTCCCTCCTTCAGCAGCATGCCTGACTCAGTCCTTAGTGATCCCAATGCCTGCCTCTGCCCTCAGGCAGCCGATCACCGTGGGGGTTGAACATATATATATATATATATATATATATATATGTATATATATATTTTGATATAATACACATATATTAATATACATTTGTGCAAATATATAGATGCATAATACTCCCACAAATCACCAAATCACATAGATAAAGCAAAACTATATAAAACTATATATAATTTTTTTTAAATTCAATTTATTTTAAAACATAGATAGACACATGGATTTTTAATTAATAAATACTCACTAGCACACAGTGATCCATACTGACACATTGATCCACACTGACACACACACACACACATTGATCCACACTGACACATTGATCCACACTGACACATTCATCCACACTGACACATTGGTCCACACTGACACATTGGTCCATACTGACACACACACACATTGATTCATACTGACACACACACACACTACAAAAATACACACCAAACACACTCACAACTACACCCTCAAATATAAACACTCTAAGAATCAGTACAATTAAAATGAAATGCCTAGGTGCCTCTGCTCACTGAGCCTACCTTGCTCCTTCCCAGCAGCTTCCCTCCAGCTCTCTCACAGGGCTCCCTGCCTGAGAGCACTTTACACTCAGGAAGTGAGACTTCGGAAGACCCGCGTGGGCTGCCCTGCTCTGCCTGATTGCCAGGTCACATGCTTCCTGTGTGTGAAGGCTGTCAGGCAGGGACAGAGACTTCCATCCTCCCTGCACTTACTCCAGGCTCGCGAGCAGCATTGAAAGTTCAATTTCCAGCACCTGCTGCTCGCGAGTGGATAAAGGAAAGCCTCTTCTAGAGGTAAGAGGAGAACTGTGTTCCCCAGTACTCCCCAATGTGAGAGTGTGTGTAGGTGTGTGTGGGTGGAGGTAGGAAGGGCTGCTGCACTGTGCGGCCCCAAGTGCCACGGCCCACCGGGAAATTTTCCGGTATCCCAGTGGGCCAGTCAGGCCCTGTGTCCAACTTTGAATCTGCAGTCAAACAATATATGCTCTTTCCTAAAGAGGCATGTTTTATGCTTAAAATGTGGGCACCAAGCAGCATTACTTGCAGATTAACGTCACCCATAAGTGGACCCATTTATTGAGATCAGGACAAATAGTGAACAGAATGAGACAGGCTTAGAGCAATCTCCAAATTGAGAACAGAAGAAATAGATTTAGACATTCATTCACTTGCTGTAATGAAGGTACACTTACAGGATGATCCTTGGGTTTTTGCCTCTAAATTTTAACAAGTGTACCGACTAACCCATCGCATATCACCAGACCAACTCTTCCTGATCTACTGCAATACCTGATAAAAAAAATTCACTTATTTAGATCCCGGAGTGCAAATAATAGCAGATGAAAAAGACACTCTGGAAGGAGTATTAACAACTATAGGGAAGGCCAGACAAAATGCAATGAGGAAAGGTGTCACAGGACATCCCATGATTGCAATTATTGCTACTAATGAGGGGAAGCGAGCTCTCCCAGAGATTCCATTCAGAGGTTCTTGTTACTATTGCAACAAAATCGGTCATAGACAAAAAGAATGTAGAAAGGCAAAGATAAACCAAAGGGTGGCTGATGGATGGCATGCCTATCCCTCTGGGCCTTTCAAAGAAAGAATAGATCAGAAAGTATATGAAAAGATTGACCGAAATGAACCTCCAGATAAAACAGGTCAGAAAAACAGAAACCCAATCGATATGGTCCTGCACAGAAAGCTCTAAGAATGATGACTGTACAGGGAGCAGTGACTAGCAATTCTAAAATGAATACAGAGGTTGAAGTTTCATTTTTGGAATGACTATCACTGGATAGCATGGTTCCTATTTGTAACACATTTATGGATCATGCAGGACGTCCTTACGTGAATGGAATTATTGCAAGACAACACACTAAGATTTTTACTGATACAGGAGCTTCAGTGACACTTACTGACCTACCACTAAGTTCCCCATTCTGGGGCAAAACAAACATTTCTTGTAGGACTTGGTGGATCCCAGTCCCAGCCTTTTCTTATGCCACAAGTGACTTTGACTTTAAGTGCTCAGTTAAATAAGAAAATACCCATATGGCAAAGTAAGAATATTGAAGGTAATATGCTGGGTGCAAATGTAATGAAAACAGAAGGAATACTGATAAACCTCTGTGATAATGTTTTATGAAAAGATACAAGAGTGAGAAAGCCTTCTTTTCCTAGATGCAACGCTACCTCAAGGCTCTCCAACATATTTCCACAAGACCTTAGCAACGGAATTAGAAGCATTCTCTTCTCAATATAGTATAACAGAATATGTATATGACATCTTGTTGCAAACAGAAACAGTACAACAACATATGAGTTTGTTAAGAGAATTCTTGGCTGATATCAGCAAATCTAATGGCAAGTGTAGGACTCACCTTTTGGGGCTTGCCTTGACGTGGCAGGTGAGCTTATATTCAAATGGCCATTGGAATAAAACTAAAGAGCCTCCATTTTGTTTAAATGTACATAGGGATTTAGGCCAGAGCGCAGGTAACGTTCTCTTTGTTTTTACTATGTATTTTGAGCTATTGGATACTAAGCTGCTGCTGCTGTAAGCGTGGTGCTTTATCTTTGTGTATGTATATGATGTTTGTATCACACAGCTATGTTAAATTGCTGCCAGCCACCCCATGTTTGTCTTATTAAGAGTTTATAAGTATGTAGGGGCAGCATCACTTCCTGTCTCAACAGAGAAATTTGCCTTTGTATGTTTTATAGCCCTATTTAGGGTTAATAAGTATGTCAGGGTTTATAAAACACCCCTTCATGTCTCATTAGAGATGTTTACACTTTGTCTTATACCAGTAAAGTTTATGGTATGTGTAGAAGCCCTATAAAGGGTTAAATGTGAAGGGGTTTATAAAATACCCCTTCCTGTCTCATAGGAGATTCTTAAATGTACATGGGGATTTAGGCCAGAGCGCAGGTAACGTTCTCTTTGTTTTTACTATGTATTTTGAGCTGTTGCATACTAAGCTACTGCTGCTGTAAGCGCGGTGCTTTATCTTTGTGTGTGTTAAGAGAATTGTTTGGCTTGATTGCAAAATGCTAGATTCAAGCTAAACACGTCAAAGGTTGTTTCCACAAAAGGTAATATTTTTGGGAGTGGCTATCTTACAAGTCACTTAGATGATAACCATACACCACTGGGGAATGGAAAACTACAATAAATAAGTAGGTTTGCCTATGATCATAGAGATCTGTGGGTTAATAGTTGGTTGGGATGTCAGGTTATTATCTGTAGGGCCACTTCACTATTAGTGTATTGGTGTAGGGCCACATCTATTGGTGTATATCAGAATAGTTATTGACTGTTATCAATAGGAATACCTGAACCAGCCTCTGTCAATTTTAACCTCTTAAGGACACAACTTCTGGAATAAAAGGGAATCATGATGGAATATTTCCGTTATCTGTCCTTAAGGGGTTAATTGTATGTTTTGTTTTTGTGTTCATAGTATTATTATCTGGGTGTTGTAGTGGGATTTTTTGTCTTATGAGACTTTTTTAGGGATTTACAATTAAAAGTTATGTTTTATTTACACCTTTTTTCCTAGTATTCCATTGTTCATATATATATAGTGTATCCTCCGCTTCTTTTCTTTTTTAATTTCTTATACAGGGGTTATCCCCCATTTAGGAGGCGTACACAGGCATTATTATATATCTTCTTTCCTTCTTATTTTTCTTTCAATAGTACAATAGGAATACCTGTCACAGAATCACGTGTTAAATCATGAGTTGCAATATCCTAATGTAGATATCAATGGTCAAGAATTACAGCAAATTTATTTCTTAGGTTGCTTAAGATTTCCTAACAAGATCTTATGCTTACCTAACCAAGCCAGAATCATAGTGGATTCATGTTGGCATAACCATTCATACTGCAAAGGGATTGTGGAGCAAGTAAATCCTGCTGACATGGTATTCCCGTTGGGGCAGGGAAAGGTGTGCTTTGTCTTATTAGAGCCAAAAGATGAGGTACAAGTCTGGTATAAACACTGCTCTGTAAGGGAACTAATTACACAGGGAATTTATTGCGTTACAGGGTATCCTACAAGAATTAATACACACCACTTAATACACACCACTTTAACCTGACAATACCTTTATTACTCACAATAAATATGACCCTTTGTCCCCTATTAATAGAGCCTATTATAACTGAGGACACCCTGTTGCAAGAATGGGTTGATCAATTCAAGTTAGACCAAGTATTAATCGAACATCTGCAAACATTTGGTGAAAGTATTCATGTTCAGATCTGTCACCAGCAACAAGAACTTCTACTACTGCCCGAGTGCATCATCTCCAATATGGTATACAAATGGAAAGAGCTCTATTGAGGTAGTGTGCTTGGTATTCACATACGTAGATACACTGCAGGATGCATTCTCTCTCTTATCTCTGATGGGTTTTAAAGAGTCTCAGTGCTTCATCCACTTCATCACCAATCGGAGGGATGTAATAAGTGGGGGGACTGATTAACAGCCAAACTGTATGCCAATGAAGTGTTGTGTTCTATACAGGGATAAAAGCCCCATTCTACCCTTAGGCAATAATGGAGTCCTCTGTGACGCACATGGCCTTTCACCAGGCAAAACCAGTTGGGTTGTTGATAAACTCCTCGTCCATTCCCTTCCAGTGCAACCCCTCTACCCCCAGGAGGCACTCTGGTTTTGTTAGATTCTAAGGGATTTACTGAGGGAGTTGTGTATAAAAGAAGGAAGGGCTATCTTGAGCTATCTTGATAAAAGCCCAGTGAATGCCACAGGCTCTCTTATCTTACTCTCAGCTGAGGATGAATGGGGTGGTAACTGTATCACGTGTCTATGCCTGTTTTACTATGTTAATTTAGTTTACTTTCCATTCAATCAATGACTAGTTTTGGTAGGAACATATACTAGCCTATTTTAAATGTATATGTATTGTTTATTGGTTTGATTAGCCTCTATTAATGAATATTATTGAATTGTCGAAAGCAAGGAGTGTGGACCCTGACTTTACACTCTGTTTTTAAGTTATTATTTTTAGTTATTAATTTTATTATTAATTACAACTTTACTCCAACTGGCAAGTAAAGTTTCCTTCAGGTAGTGTATCATCATTCTTCAAAATTCTCCAATTGTGGTCTATAGACTTTTTATTAGTTTTGACATATTGTGGTGTAAATAGTAGGAAATATTAGCCTATCTGTATTTTTTATTTGTTCTGGGTCTGTTACATAACATTTATCCAGTGTTGCTTGTAGAATTTTGTTGTTGTAGTCTCTGGCTCTGAATTTCTCCCACATTTCTTGTAGTTGGGATTGTGTGTTAACTGGATTTGAATTATTTCTTATCACTCATAGGAATTGTGAATGAGGGAGTGAATTTTTTAAATGTCATGGATGGTAACTGTCTGCATGGAGTAGGGTTTTTATGTCTGTTGGTTTGGTGAATAGGGTATATGCTACTTTCTCCCTTTCCTTATATAGATGAACATCTAGGAAATTAACCGTCTGGGCATTCGCCATCATTGTGAGATGTGCTGGTGTATTCAAGGTGTTGATCCTTTCCAACATTAGTTCTGTGGATTCCAGTGTCCCTTTCCAGAGCATTAGAATGTCATTGATATATTGGCGGTAAAATATAATGTTGTGCTGGAAAGGAATTAGAATGTGCTCTTGCTCAAAGACGTACATGTACCCATTCGCGTACATTGGGGCCATTGCCACACCCATCAATGCCCCACTATCTGCTTGTACCATGTCTTTTCAAAGCTTAAGTAATTATGTGGAGTGTTTCTGATGATGAAGATATATTAATAAGGAGGTCTGTAAAACATAAAACAACAAGACCAAATCCTAGTGCAATATTGTTAATATAATAAGCTTATTGGTGAAAACTCACAAAGTTGGAGCCAGTAATACTAGGCTCAATGGTAAGGCTTGTGGGATGTTTGTAGGGATCCCACTCCTTCTTCAGTATCTTGGCTAGTGCAACTCTAGTGTAACTCTGTGTTTCCAACAGTAATCCACTGGTCTGGTGTATTGATGCAAACATAAATGTATTAGGTAAAATAAAATAAATATAAAATACACAATGCCGGACAAAAGTAAAATAACCTGTACTTTGACAGTCCAAAACGCGTTTCGCCTATTTTGGAAGCTTCTTCAGTTGATGTGTGCTGTTCTTTCTGCCATCCGTCTTTTTAAACCCTTGTTGATTGCTGACGTTTTTTCCCTCTTGTGATATGAGTGGCTTGTATATGACTTCATGCATAGTGCGTTGACGTACCATTGGAACGCATTCATTTTCATGGGCAATACTCAGATGTAGTTGCAAAATGTATCTCTTCAATTGAATAATCAAGGAAATCTTGCCTTCTTTATCTGGGGGTCTTACAGGCTATAATTACCAAGGATTTCTTCTGAGATATCTCTTTTGGAATATATCTAAGATGTTCGTAAAATCCATTCTCAAAGATAAATACATAATGAAAAGATAATTAAAAAAAATATATGGTGCGGATAAAATACCATAACATACATATAGATGGTTGTCATGCTTATAATGAATATGAACACTTTGGAAATAGAAATAAGATTGAAATACATTTTTAAAAATATATTGCCTTAATATCAACATATGGATAGTACCGGGTATCTACA